GAGTCCAAATGTGTGTGTGTGTATCTGGAAGGAAGGGCATCACTGGAGTAACATCGCTGGGTTATTGCTGCTTGGTTAAGGAACTTGCCAAACCTGAGGGTGAATCATGGCTCTATCACCTGCTAGCTCTGTGGTCTTGAGCAGGTCACTCAAGTGCTCTAAGCATCAGTTTGTTAATGAATAGAATAATACCCGACCTCCTAATGTTCTTGCAAGGATTCTATGAACTCATGTTTACAAAATGTTAAACCTGTCCCTGGAGCATAATAATTGTTCAATAAATGTTAGAGAGGAGAAGGAGATGGTGTTGATGATGACAGTGGTGGTGAGGTTGATGGCAATGATCCCAGTGTCTGGAATGTACCAACATACAAAGTACAGCCACGTGCCTTACTCAGCTGACTCACTCCTTGTCAGGTAAGGAGCAGGTTCAACCACTTTGAAGCATGCTTGATAGTGCAAAGAGGCCAGGTAGGGCAGTTGTGGAATATGTCCCTGGGACAGTCGCTTGTCCTCCAGAGCTAGTCTAGGATCACTGCCTTCGAGCCCATGTTCCCTAGTGTCCTGACTCCCTTGTGCTGCGCATTGGCTGTGTGTCCAGAGACTGGAAAGTGATTTTAACATCAGAACTAGCAAACTATGGTTAAGAAGGAGAAATTGTTGCCAGCATTGCCACTCAACATTTTTGTTTGTTTGGATTTGGCTTTTGGAGGATTTGTGCCTCCGTGCTGTTGTGTTCATCACATGTTGCCAATTCATGGTGAATGTGGCAAGCATGACACTCCAAGCAGCCTGTTAAGTGCAGAGGGGACATTTGCCAATTCAGCAACTAGGATACTGTGTACCATTTTGGTCAATCAAAACCTTGTGTTGAATTCAGATCATCCCTTCATGGGGTCATCTGAGCCTCTGCTGATCTCAATAGCTAACATGTAGGAGCCTGGCTTTGCAAGAGAGATTTCAGAGAAGCTTCGCCACAGCCTTACAAAGAAGACCCTTTCATCTGCCAGCATTCTTGGCTGCAAGCAACAGAAGCCGACTTGCTTTTTCAGAACAAGAGTTTATTGCAAGGAGGTTGTCAGAAGCTAGAGCACAAGGCTGTGAAACAGAAGGGGGATTCCAGGAACCCCAGAGAATCAGGAAGGCTGTTCTACGTGACACCTCTGCTACTACAATCAACAAAACCTGCAGTCATCTCCATGCCCTGGTGTCCCTCAACTGGGATTTGCTGAGCTTACTTCAAGACCTGCCATTTGGTTGGGCCAGGGCAGGAAAAAGAGATCTTGTCTGTTAAGCAACATGAGTACTTAGCAGGCTCTATCTTTCTCCAAGATGATATATCACTGTGGGATCTCCCCAAAGAGTTTTGAAGGTGGGGACTGGATTCTAGGTAGTCCAAATTGACCAGTCACCACCAGAGTAACATTAATATTCCTGTTGTACAGATTAATACATTGATGCTCAGAAGTGTTGGGTAAATTGCTCAATTTCATACAAGCAGCAAATGGCAGAGTTGAGATTTGCACTCAAAATTGTTGCTCTTCCTTTTCTTCCCTCTCTGCTCTGCCCCCCAGAGACAGTCTTGCTCCATTGCCCAGGCTGGAGCGCAATGGCATGAGCATAGCTCACTGCAGACTTAAACTCCCGGGCCCAGGCTATCCTCTCCTGCATTGGCCCCCCAAAGTGCTGAGATCATAGACATAAGCCCCTGTACCTCGCCACTGCTCTTCCTTTGATTAGAGAATGCATTGGTTAGTTATGCGTTCAGCTAACAGTAATAGCATACACTACTCAAAGGGACCTAACAGCATGGACGTTTACTAGCTCCAACACTCAGGCTAATCCGGGGCCTTTACCATGACATCAGAGACTTGTGCCTGTTTCATCCGAAGGCTGGGTCCCCTCACGGCTTCAGGGTGGCAATCACAGGCATCAGAGCTCTTTGCTTCCTTGTTCACATCACGCTGGGGGAAGTGAGAGTGGACTTTCATACTCTCTGTCTCTCAAGCGCCTGAAATACCTTTCTCGGAAGCCTCAGCAAACTTCTCTTTAAATCTTATTGGCTGGAATTGGATCACATGACCACTACGAAACTACTTGCTGGAAGTGATTACTCTCGGACCTACAACTGGAGCTGGATTCAGACCCCAAACTGCATGGCCTTTGCAAGATGACAGAGGGTGGTTTAGCTGTTGGGGAGTTGACCTTGGTCCACTGTGAGGAATAACAATGTATACGTTTGATTCATCTTTTACATAGAACAAGGACCCAGGCCAGTCAATATATTTACCATACAGATACCTGTGGTCAAGTCTAACTCTTTATCTAGCTAATAAATGCTTTACTAGTATAAACAGAATGAAGACAAATGATTTCTTCATTGTTCTTCCCAGCCTGGCCTTTAACATCTCACTGATCTATGGCTAAAAGACATCTGTTACAGACACCTTGCGCTGGAGCGTGGCTAACCACCTTCCATTATCATTAGAGGCTCATGTTATTTTTTGATGTTTTTAAACATAGCTTGTGACTTCCTTTCCTTCTAATATAATTATGGCACCATCTATAGGTGAGGTAGGGGCGAGGTTTGGATAGAGAAGAAACTCCCCCAAAGGCGACTTCCCAGAGCAGTACTGCATCATTTGGAGGCCATGGGTTGCAAGCAACAGAAACTCAAGTTGAACCAGTTCATGGAAGAGGGAGACTAAAGAGGAATACTCTTCTGGAGTATCTCAGAAAAGACACAACGGGACCTAATAAACTGAGGGGTTCAAATGAGATCAGGACATGTGCTCTTTTCTTCTGCTTCCTACTGAGCATCTGCACATCCTATCCTCTTGCACAGCAGCTTCTTCCACTTCTGACACCCTCATGGAAGGAAATGGTCTATCTAGAACATTTTATGCCTTGCTTGAAGATACTGGAGGTTCTTTTTAATTTTAATATTGAGAATTTCTGAAAGATCTCTTTTTGGCTCAGTGTGACAGGTGCCAACTCCTGAGGCTATGGTCAGGAGTCAGGTTGGGCTTACAGGGCGATTCCCTTGATGGGAGAGGGGGAGTGATGTGGCAATTCCTAGAAAAGGAGTCCCGGGAGGACAGTCCCATAGGCTTCATCACAATCATCTAGTGCCATTGAGGGGGACAGGTGGCAGGAGAAAAAGAAGGGAATTCCCCTTGTGATTGTGTGGACCTAGTTCTGCCTGGAGTTTCCCAAGGGGACTAGAGATTTCTGTGTTCTTACCACTTCTTCTGGAGGACTCCCTGAGGAACCTGCTGGATCTTTCAGGAGATGGTGTTGAACAGAGCTGGGTGAATGGGCATGGCACTGTTTGTGCCCTTATGAAGACCAAAGGCTGGCTGGGGAGAGAGATGTGTGCTCAACTCAGGGCCTTCACTGATGTTTCCGGGGTCCTCTGCTAACACACTTACCATATATGGTGACAGCTGTCTGTGGGTGGACTTCTTTTTTTTTGAGACCGAGTCTCACCCTGTGGCCAGGCTGGAGTGCAGTGGTGCAATCTTGGCTCACTGCAACCTCTGCCCCCAGGTTCAAGTGATTCTCTCATATATGACAGTGGTCCTGTATGATTATCATACTGTATTTTTACTGTACTTTTTCCAATTTAGATTCGTTTAGATACATAAGGATTTACCATTGTATTACAATTGACTACAGTATTCATCACAGTAACGTGCTGCACAGGTTTGTAGCCTAAGAACAGTAGGCTACACCATAAAGACTGTGTAGTAGGCTGTACCATCTCAGTTTGGGTAACTATACTCTGTGATGCATTTCTCAGAATGTATCTCTGTCATTAAGTGATGCATGACATGACTATATTGTCAAAGGAAAAAAATGAATGAATGAGTAATTCTCAACCCAGAGGTACCCAGGAATAGTCCCCTGATGAGTATTTTCAATCCACAAGTCCTTCGTGACCTCTCCTGGTGACATGGCCTCTCCTCCCTCCAGTGGGAAACCCTGCCACTGGAGGATTTTTCTTCCCTCTAGAAGACAGAAAAAAAAAATATTGAGAATTCCCTCTCCTGGTTGTTTCTTGCCTTTCTAGTCCTCCACCATTCCCTGTGTGCAATATTTAAATCAGGGAAATGTAGAGTAAATAGCACCAGACTTGAAGTTAGGGAAACCGGGTTCAAGACGGGGAGGGGGGGTTCAACTGAAGCCCAGCTGTTTGGCCTGAGGTAAGTTACTAAGTGCCTTTAAGCCCAGTACAGCAGGGGTCATGAAACCTGCTCAGGCTCCCTTATCGAGTTATCAAGGATCTCATAGTATAGAGCTTCTGAAAATGCCATGCATTACAAAGAGTGCACCAACTTAACACCTAAAGTATTGACCCGTAGACCACATTTACAGCACAGGGGCAGAACCTTCCTGGTATGCTTTGGGTGTTTGTCCCCTCCAAATCTCATGCTGAAATGTGATCCCCAATGTTGGAAGTGGGTTCTTGTGCGAGGTGTTTGGGTCTTGTGGGCAGATCCATCATGAATGGTTTGGTACCGTAATGAGTGAGTTCTCATTCTGTTAGTCCATGGGAGAGCTGTTTTTTTTTAAAAAAACTGGTGCCCTTCCTCTCTCATCATGTGATGCCAGCTCCCCTTCCCCTTCTGCCATGAGTGGAAATTTCCTGAGGCCTTACCAGGAGCAGATGCCAGCGCCATGTTTCTTGTGCAGCCTGCAGAACCATGAGCCAAATAAACCTCTTCTTTATAAATTACGCAGCTTTGGATATTCCTTTCTAGCAATGCAAAAGAACTAATACACCTCCTAAGGAATTTGAGAGCTTGGGCATGCAAGTCCACAACAGAGCAGGCAATCATGAAAATACCTGCATGACTTGTAAAAGGGGCCCCCAGGGCCACAGGGTATAAAAGAAAGCTTTTGGTGACTTGCATAAGGATTTGCATATTGTTTGCAAGTCATTGAAGGCAGGTGGGCATGCATCATGATCCATAATACTCTTATGCTCCTTCCTCCAGCCTTCCTTGGCCTCTTCACCTGCACGTCCTCCTTGCTGGAACCTAGCCTGGAAAAATGGTGAGTTGAGCTCCCCATGGGGGGCTCCCATGGCTGTCAGTTCCTTCCAGAGGCATGTATGGGAGTGAATGTGGGCCTGAAGAGATCCTGGAACATCGTACTGTCTGATGGATGGCAGGCCTTCAGCGTCACTGAGCTTTCACACCTGAAAACTATTAAAGGTTATTCTTTTAATTCTTTATGGTCGTTTGCACGCCTTCCTTAGAGAAACCTCTGATTTTCACTTGTGAGACGCTCAGCTGAGCTTGTCATACCCTAAAAGGTGATTTCAGTTCTCTGATGCCAAAGAACCTCTTCCACTGATCAAAACACAGCTGCAGAGGCCTATATGATCTGCTAATGGGCACCCCAACTCTGGGGTATGTCTGTCTGTACCTGGGAAAACAGATATAATTAGGATAACAGATATCATATGTATATGCAAATGCAGCAGGTAAAAATGACTAGAAATGAGATAGGGCTGGAGTTTGCCAAATCCCATCAGACCAGCTATGCAGCTTAACCCGATGCTAACACCATCACCACCAGGCCTTCCCCAGTACCGGCTCTGGTGCCTTCGCTTCATCTTCTTTTTGCCAACATGCTGGAACCCTCATGCAAATTATTTTAATTTTATTTTTTTTAGAGATAGAGTGTCCCTCTGTTGCCCAGACTGAAGTGCAGTGACACAATCACAGTTCACTGCATCCTCAAACTCCTTGGTTCAAGTGATCCTCTCACCTCAGCCTCCTGTGTAGCTGGGACTACAGGCCTGTACCACCATGCTCAGCTAATCTTTGAATTTTTTTGTAGAGATGAGATCTTGCTGTGTTGCCCAGACTGGTCTCAAACCCCTGGCCTCAAGCAATGCTTGCACCTCAGCCTCTCAAACTGCTGGGATAACAGCTGTAAGCCACCACACCCAGCCTATTTTTTTTTACTGTAACAGTAGGTCCCCATAGATTCCTGAAGAGGCTCTTTCAAGAGCTTCAGATCTTATGAAGCTGCAGGGGTCCTAGCATCTGAGAAGCTAGTGGGGGAAAGATGGAGAAAAGAGAGGGCTTCTTCAGTGTTTTTCCTTTAATGAGGGTTTGGTCCCCACAGTGGCAGCATTGGGACTGGGGAAGACCTGGTAGGTCATTACCAAGCTCGAGTTGCCTTTTTCAAAGAGAACCGTCCCATAAGGATGGCCTGGAAGCTTCTTGTTTGGAGTCAGAAGCTCAGTCTAAAGTTCTACTTCTGCCTCTTCCTGGTGGTGTGCACTTAGGCAAGTGACTCACCTCTCTGTGTCTTGTGTTCTTCACCCTAAAATGGGCATGATAACAATACCTGCCTCAAAGGGCCTGGCAAGACATCAGCTCTCAGATGATGTTTTCCTTCGTAATAGGTACGTGGGCAGGTGAAGAGAGTCAAACATCAGGCCCAGGGTTCTTACTCCACTGTATCACTCCATCTACCTACCAATGGATAAATTACTTCACCTCTCTGAGCCTCAGTTTCTGCATCCGTGAAGTGGGCTAATAATGGATGGATGTCATAGTGCTATGTAACAGTCAACAACAACAGACCACTAAACAGAAGCTAGTGATGCATGTGGAGTAACGATGCCTGCATTTGGGGGCAGTGCCAAGTCTGATAAGATTGAAGAGCATCTCATTTGTGATGCTCTGTGTCTGATATGGGGTAAGGAAGTCCTCACCCCTATTGGGTCTATCAAAAAGGGCTGCAAAACTATGCAGACAAACGATCTGGATACTGCCTTTACCAAGCTGCACAGCCATTGAACAAAGGCATCTAACTTCACCAAAGTAGGAGGGCCTGCATGTGCAGATCCATCTTTGCTGTTGGGACTGGGGCCCATACCTTGTTCCATTCTGTAAGCTCTCACTGTGCTTGACACAGTGCCTAGTGTGTTATAGATACACAATAAATATGTACTGATTGAGGGATGAATGAATGAATGAAATCTGCATCCATGGATGAATAGATGGTCAATTACATTGTCAATTTTCTACCCTGGGGGTGGAGTTAGAAAAAGCAGTCGGAATCTTGGTCCTTTTGCTAATGGTGGAAGAGGGCAATACTTGTAGAGTGTGTGCTGTCAGAGCCATGTTCAAATCTCAGTATTACCATATCTTAGCAGTGAACTTGGTCAAACTTCAGTTTGGAAAAAACATGCTGACTTTCAGTTTCCTCATCTGTAAAATGAGGCTAAAAGTACCACCTTTGTTATAAGGTTATGGTGCAGATGCTATAAATTTGTACTTGCCAGGGCCTGACATGCTACTAAGTGGAAAGTGGGAGAATGAGAGTGAATCCCCTTCTTTCTTTCCCTCTTCACTACACAGATTCCAAGGATATTGTTTTATACCAGCCAAGTCCTAAGCGCTGGAAGTGGATCTGATCTTTTACCTAACTCCAGCATTGATGTTTTTTATTCTGTTGAAGGCGTCAATATTTGTTCAATAGTGTAAGTCTTAAATAAGCATCTAAATGACATATTACAGATGATGAAAGTCATTTCCGCACAGAAGATTATCTCACACGATCATGTTTCCTTCGTTATCTGGGGCCTCTGTAGCTGGCAAATCTCTGCAGCTACTTAAATGATGACATTAGTCCTAATGCCATGTAAAATGACTAGGTCCTCAGGGTAGGTTTATTTTTAATAGTGTATGTCAGCAGCAAATAGCTTGGAAGACCCCAGAGAAAAGAGCACAGCTCAGGCTCTCACTGAAGCGATGATATAGATATATTTAATATCTATATTAAAAATCTTTTAGGCACCATGGTGATATTGAACTGGATAGTTAGGCGAGTGTTAGGGAAAATCCTGGGCTGTTTATAGAGTGTGATACAGTGTGCATTCTAGAAATCTTTTGAGGTTCTTCAAAGTCAAATTTGGGCATCAAAAATCTTTGACAGACATTTGGCCCCAGTAGTAAAATACTCTGAAACACAAGCTGGGAGTATAAAATCACTTCCTTTTCTCTTTTTTGGTAAGCCTGTTGATAAGTTTGCTGTGCTATTAAAATGTTTAATCACTTGCCTCCAGCAAGAGCAAGCTTCTGTCTGAAGTTACAATTTATTAGCGTGCCCAGATCATACTTGCTATTTACCCAAAACATGGCCAGGGGATTCTTACAGAGAAAACAAACCACAATTTGAAATCAAGCATAGAGTGGCAGATGAATGGATTGAAGGCAAAAATTATTTTGGAGTTGATTTCAGGGGAGAGATGATAAAATCTGCACTAATTTTCTATCCCAAGGGCACAGGATTAGATATACAGCGGCCACAGGTCTGGCCTGTGAGATATCCCAGGGTCAGTTGGTAAAAGTGGTGCCAGGCCTGTCCCAGGGAGGTCTCTGGAGAAGAGGCAGCAGAGGAAGGGGCTACTCTAGGAACATACCTTCCAAGAAGAGGCATTTGTCTCTGCTTTAGGGTTTGGTCAAAGAAGCTCATCCTGGAAGGACAATGAACAGATAGATGCCTGGTTTCAGCAGAATGCTAAGCCCAAACCCCCCTCCCTCCTTCTCTTCTGTGGACCTCACCCTGGCCTTTCAGACTCATCCAAAAGCAAACTGAATTGTGGGGCAGGAAAATGCCTTTAAGACGGTGAGCATCATTTAGTTATGGTACCTGAAGCCCACCCGCTGGTGGCACAACACCATGGACCTAGCCCTTGGAGTGGAGGGCCCCTTAGAGGGCCATGGATAATTAACTCCTTCCAGGAACTGGTGTCCAGGACTATGCCTTGGAGGGCACCCACAGATATTGAGCCTACCATCAGGTCACAATTTTCTAAAAACAGATATGTAAAGATCTAAGAAGTTTCCTGTTTATCATCCTGTGTTTATCTACACAAAATGCTTTTTAAATCTGGATTATTGTATCCCAAACTGGGTTATAAAGAATAACAGATATTCTGGCAGAAAGGAATACTATGGCTTAATCAATTTGGGAACCACTGCATCTCTTGAATCACCAGATACGATGGCAGACTCTCCTGTGTCCTGAACTGAAAAACTAGCAAACGAAACTGGTTTCACTGTTTCCCCCAGCATTTCTCCAAATTGTTCAGCTATGAACTGCTTTCTTCACAGAACATCCATCACCATCTTACCTTTGTGGAAGGCAGTTGAAGAATTGTTGGGTTACGATAGGCAGAATTCTAAAAATGCCCTCGTCCCCACAAGATTCTCCTCTTCTGTCCATTCAGTCGAACATTAACACAAATACTGTTGAGAGGGAATTTTGCAGAAGCAAGAAAAGCCCTAAGTAAATCGACTTTAAAATGTGGAGAGTATCTGGGCAAACCTGGCCCAACCGGGTGACCTCTTAATTGAAAGGGTGAGGATTGGATGCTCCTTCTGTGGCTTTGAAGATGGAAGGAACCCTATGAGAAGGAATATGGGCAGCCTAGAGGCAGAGACTAACCCCAACCCCCAGCTGACAGTGACAAAATGGGGACATCAGACCTGAAGCCACAGAAACCGAATTCTGTCAACAACCATAAAAAATTGTAAGCAGAAGGCCCCCAGATAAGAATCCAGTTGGCTGACACCTTGATGTTGGCCTTGTGAGACTCTGAGCAGAGTCCAGGTGAGCCTACCTGTACTTCTGACCTACAGAATCTTGGGATATTAAATGGGTATCGTTTTAAGTTGCTAAATTTGTGGTAATTCATTTCACAACAACAGAAAACTACTACATACTGATTCAGAGAAATCAAAACGGAACTGGTATCCTTTACATTCGCAAGGTGATTCAAATGTAACACTCATATATGGACAGAGCAGGTGTCTCTGTTTTTACAGGTGAAGATATAGACTCAGAGAGATTAAGTTACTTGCCCAGGACACTTAGCCAGGAAATGAGGAAAAGGGGACTTGAATGGGCTTTTTTGTGTGTGTGAGTTAGGATGGGGTGGGGGCGTGTTTCCTTTACTGTCTTTTGCATTCAAATAGGAAAAGGCATTTGGAGAGACTGCAATTGGGAACTTGCAAAGGAGGATGAAAAAAAAGTTCAGGGAAGAACACATCAAGCAAGGGGTTCAACTGCCTCATCAGAGAGGTCCTTTCTTTCATCTCTTGTGTCTGAGCAGAAAAGCTTGCTAGAAAAAGGACCCACAGCTGTGAGCCAGTGACAATGTGTGGGGCCAGGGTCTGATGAGGCCACCGGAAGTGGGCTGCTGGGATGCTTTATATGTACAACTAAGGGCGAAGACATGCAGGCCTGTAATATCAAGAGAAACAATGTCTGCAGGCTGACCTCCCAGATGGGTGGTTTGCAGAGGTGGGGCTGCCTGCATAATTAATCAGCCCTGGCTTTCTTTGCCACAACTGGCATTCCTACCTGTACCCGCAGCCCTTAAGGAGCCCTTCGCTCAGTGTCACAGAGCAGACAAGTCATCTGGGAACATCCCCCCCAACCTTCATGGACAGAAGTGGAGACTGAAGCCCAGAAAAGGAACAGGACTTCTCAAGGTCACAGTCAAGGATCCCCTAACACGGGACAATTCTCTTGGTTAGTGATGACTTCCTGCTGAGCCAGTATTCCTTACTGAGCAAATGCAGCGTGTGTGTGCCTGTGTGTGTGTGTGTGTTTTTGTGTCCAGGATGAGACTCAGAACTGTGTGTTACCATTGTCCTAATAATAATAGAAGCCAATACCCACAGAGTACAGATCCAGTGCTTGGTGCTCTCTGGAAAGTGCCACGTGTTAACTTTATTCTCACAGCAAGCTGATGAGGTGGCTGGAAAAACATTAGGGTTCTTCACAAATGTTTCTGGCCAGAAGTGGATCCAGGTATGGCAGGGCTTAAAGCATATCCAATTTGGGGGAACTTCTTGAAGGAAAGGAATACCAATTTATAAATATAAATTAGGCACAGGGCCCCATGAAAGAAAAGGGCTTGGAAGCATTACAGTAAGTCTGTTAGTTGCATGTTAATGTTCCCTGCCCCTTGTGAAGTTAGGCGAGAGCACGTGACTTGCTTTGGCCAATGGGATATGAATGAAATTGATATGTGTCACCTCTGGGTGAAGTCTTAAGAGTTAGTGAGTGTTCACCACTTTCCTTCCCAACCCTGACTCCCACGGTCCCTGGGTTGACAATGGAAGAGTGTGCCAAGATGGAACTTGCTTTTCCCTGGAACTCTGAGCCTATGATATCTAGAGCAACCTCTCTCTTCACCCTGCCCTGTGTCAACCAGCATGAAACATGGAGTGTAAGTAAGAAATAAACTTTTGTCATGGCAATTCACTAAAACTTTGGATTTTTTTTTTAACCACAGTGAACCTTGCTTAACCTAATTGATATAGGCAGGGTATTATTGTCGTTTCCATTTTCCAGATAAGAAAATTGAGGCATAGAGAGATTTAGTTACTTGCCTGACATCGCGCAACTAGTTAATGGTAAAACTGGGACAAATGGCTCAGTGTCTTTGTTTCTAAGTGACATTAGGGAAAGGTGGGGACCTCAGCAAACTAAGGTATTTGTTCCATCTGACAATTGCTTCTGACTTTCTACTGTTGGTTGTAAAAGAATGTAGTCCTTCGTTGCCAGATCCTCTCAATTTTTTTTTTTAAGCAGAGACCATAAATCCAGCGTTTTAATGTAAAACCAATTGATTGAAATATTTTTCTTTTTCTTTCATTAAACACCATGAAACTAAGACATTAGTGAGCTAGGTTCAGCTCATCAGTTTGAGACCTTACAACACTGAAGTTTTCATTAAAAACAAAACAAAACACTAAAAATTCAAGCCAGTAACATTGTATGCTAGTGACACAGCCATGGTAGTCTGAGAAGGCTTTGGTGGGAAGGGAGGACTGCAGTAAGGTGTCCAGGCCCCAGAGAGGTTCCCTGCAGTAAGACGATAGGGGCCATGGATGTTCCCAGGCTGGGGATGGAAAGAGAATAGTCACAAACATTTTCAAGGACTCTGTCACATCAGAAGTGTTTTGTGCCAGGCACAGTGGCTCACACCTGTAATCCCAGCACATTGGGAGGCTGAGGTGAGCAGACTGCTTGAGCCTGGGGTTCAAGACCAGCCTGGGCAACATGGTGAAACCCCATCTCTACAGAGAAAATTTTAAAAATTAGCCAGGCATTGTGATGGAAACCTGTAGTCCAGCTACTTGGGAGGCTGAGGAGAGAGGACTGCCTGAGTCTGGGAATTGAGGCTGCAGTAAACTGTGAATGAGCCACCGTCTCAACAAGAAAATGTTTTGGTAGGGTTATTCAAATTTTTGTATGAGGTTATCATACACACAAATACTCCTTGAGGAAACACTAATAGTTTCATATGATGCATTTCCAGAAGCTTTCCCATCACCATGCCCTGTGGGATTCAGCAGGTTCTAGCTGAATGTCATTGAGCCAAAGAGAGAAGAGGCAGTCACCAAACAAACCTTCCTGGAAATAGAGATCTACCTGGATCCAACGACGGCAATTCCCTGATAACTCCCCAATGAGGCCAAGGTATTTCCATCTACCTAATCTCGTCAGCTGTCTTGTGAGGCTCAGCTCATTCTTGAGGAGTGAAGACAGTAAACAGTAAAGGTTATGTCCAAGAGGCCCTAACGTGAAAACTGAAAAATAAAGTCAAGTTTGGGTGACACCAGTGAGCATTCAGCACAAGACCTCATGCATTAATCCAGAGGTTTCCAAAGCATCAAAGGAGACTTGAAATGTCGTAAGAATAAATGAACCATTTGTGGAAATAGAATCTTGTGAGCAAAAAATTTGGAAAACTCGTGCAATGAAACAAGGTCCTTTGCTGCAGGACTTATCAGAACCTTTAAAAAGCCACATGCACGATGTATGTGTCTCTAAGAGGGCAACCCTGCTTGGTTGTGGAATCCCTCTCTCTATCTTTTCTATTTTTGCAGAAGCTTTTGGGAAAAAATGTGGTAGAGAACTTTCTTTGAGACGTGATGTCTAATCTTTCCTTTGGGATGTCTCACCTCTGAATATCTTGGTCACTTTCTCTCTAGATTTCTTTTAGAATTGTGGTTTTCTCTTTTCAGAAAAGGAGGCATTCTAGTTATTCATTAGTTTTAAAAAGTAGGTGGCCTATGGAGATCAGAAAGGCCATTGCATGCCTGGTACTGTACCCCACATGTCCTTGAGCTCTCTGGGCTAGACACAAATGTCTACCTTTTTGTCAACTTGGTCATGACTTCAGCACTTGGAATTTCCAGCTCAAAGGATGTTCTTTAAGGCAAAGGGACAATGACATTTGGGAGATAGCAGCCTCAAGGAAACACTCTCTCTGCCTAGGGACACGTACTTGGGAGTAGGAAAAGGAAGAGGAGGAGAAGAGAGAAGCCCCTGAGTGGTTGACCAAAAGGGGCCCCTTTTATGGCCTTCCTGTTTATGGCTGAGAAGTAAACAGCTTGGGAGCCAGGCTGTCTCCCTCCGCAGCTGGGGCACTGGTTCAGGCTGGCCTGGGACCCTCTCTTTCTGGGTGGCAATGGGCGGGGAACCTGCCTGTCACGCTCATCTCAGAATGCATTTTTTAAAAGCCAGCATCTTGGGGAGTTTTCCTTCACCCCGCACCATCTGCTTGGTCCTCACCTCAGTGGTCTTGCTCCTTCCTTTCAGGCAACAGTTGGAGATCTGTGTGTGCAAGCTTGGGGGTCAGATCCTAGCTGCAGCATGCAGCAGCTGTGTAACTTCAGGGGAACCCTGCACCTCCCTGATTCTCATTCACAGTGATGAGTAGTAACCCCTTCCCCCAGGGATTTGGGAGGACGTGCAGACTGTGCCTGCGAACTTGCCTGGCATGTGGTAAGTGACAATATATGTTTACTTCTATGACTATTATTTCAGTTGCCCTCTGGGCTCAGCCTCGGCTTTCAGCGGGTGGAGGGTTGGGGTCCTGGTGGGGGGCAGGGATTCAGGCTCACCTCCCAAAGGGACTCCCAGGACCTTGGTCAAGGCAACATCTTTCTCCAGATTAGCGATGGGAGTGCTTTTCCTCTTGAGAAATGCAGGCTGTGATGGAGCTGGGAGGGTGCCCCAGCTAACTAAGGAAGACAGCGCCGGGGGCAGCCAACACCAGGAGAATCAATAAACTATAATGATCAAGAATGGTGTCTGTGGGGGTTGGGGAGTCATGGGGACAGAGGGCGGCAGAGGATGGGGTGGGACAATGCCAGAGAGAAGAGGCAGCAAGAACAAGACACACACACATGCACATGCACACACACACACTCTGAACAGATGCAGAAAAAGTGTGTGAACATGGAGAGAGAAGCATGTGCTGTGTTCAGCCTTCCTGTCCCGTCCGTCAGGGTGGGTCTACTTTCCTGGACTAGACAGGGAGTAAGAGCCAGATGTCTATTAGCTCTTTACATTCCCCAAGTCCTTGCCCACATCAGTCCTTTAACTCTTGGATGCAAGGCAGAAATGTTCTGATGTCTGCTTACAATGTCTAATCCACTGACTTAGTTATGTTCAGATATTAAAACAATACAGATTTTTACATTGAGTGTAAGCTCTTAGGCTAGAAATAGTATTTAACATTACCAGGGCCTTCATTATCCCTGGATTGAATGCTGCTTTTTAGGTCCACTGCTCCAGCAGGGTTTTTTTAATTTTAACTTTTTTTTTTTTTTTAATTTTATAGAGACAGTCTTACTCTGTCACCCAGCCTGGAGTACAATGGCACAATCATGGCTCACTGCAACGTAGAACCCCCAGGGAATAAGGGATCCTCCTACCTTGATAGTGAGTAGCTGGGATTACAGGCACACCCCCCACCCCCAGGCCTGGCTAATTTCCTTTCTTATTAAAAACATAATAAATTTTAGGAACAGGGTCCCACTATGTTGCCCAGTCTGGTTTCAAACTCCTGGGCTCAAGAGATCTTCCCACCTTGGCCTCCCTCCCAAAGTGCTGGTATTATAGGGGCAAACCACCATGACCCATGCTCTGTGGTTTTTTTGATACAGCACTTTTGGAATCCATTGTGATGGGGTTACCTGGACTTGGGCAAGCCCCACAAACCCACTGGCTATTCATGAGCTCTATCAAGTTACCACTTACTGCTTTTTCTGAAAAAGACTTGACTTTAGAGAGCAGTTTTAGGTTCACAGCAGAATTGAACGGAAGGTATGTACAGAGGTTTCCCAGACGTAACCCAACCTCCCATAGAACCTTATTGCTTTTAAAAGCCATCTTTAAAAATTTTCTTTTCTCTGATCCCCAAAACCCTTGCCATTTTGAGATCTCGCCCCCAGAAGGGATTATTAAATCTGGTGCATGTTTTCTTGGCTTTCCTTTCCCCCAGTGTGATGGGGGAGCTTTCGTAAGCACTGGAACAGGCATCGATGGAGGTTGCTGAACATGAGTGGGTGTGGAAGGTGTTGGAAAGACCCTCCGAGGAGGAAGGCTTTTCTAACACTCAGGTACGCTGAATCTCTGTTTTTGAAGGGTAGTGTTTTGGAAAATGAGCAAATATGCAAACAAACTTGTGTTACATTTAGGCTTTATTATGTGCCAGACTACTAGGCTGTGTGTGTGTGTGCGTGTGTGCACGTGCGTGTGTGCGTGTGGGTGTGTGCGCATGTGTGCATGTGTGTGTGCGTATGCGTGCATGCGTGTGTGTGTGTGCGTGTGTGTGTGCGTGTGGGTGTGTGCGCATGTGTGCATGCGTGTGTGCGTGTGCGTGTGTGCGTGTGTGTGTGTGCGTATGCGTGTGTGCGTGTGTGTTTAACTAGCATTATTCAGTTAGCCAGTCTAATCTCAGTAGTACTCACAGGAGGGATTTCTACCCTTCCTCATGGGGCTGCTAGCCAGGAGGTGTCCCCCCGGTCACAAAGCTTGCAGGTGCCCGAGCCTCCCAGGTGCCCAGGTCGGCCACCAGCACTGCCTTTCCCCAGTGAGGAAACTGAGGCTCTGGCAGGTTAACTCTCACAGCATCCAAGACTCACTAAAGCAGTGACCCGCCTAGGTTAGATCAGGTCTCCTGATTCTCAGCCCCTCTGATATCCCATGGGGAGAAGTTGGTGAAGACAAGATGAGAAAATGTATCCTGCCTGGGAGGGGGTCTCCTGGGGCAGCTGTCTCCACACATGCCCTCTGCCTCCTGCCCTCCGCCCGCTGCCTTGAAGCATGTGAACCCCCCTTCCCTACCCCTGAGTGGCACATTTTACAAGGAGCCCAGCCTCCTGGCCCCTGGCTTTCACATAGCTTTGCACGTTCCTGGGAGGGCCAGGGCAGGAGACAGAGCCCAGGGCCTGGTACTGGATGAGCCGGGACTTCTCAATCTGTGTCTGCTCCCCCACATCCTCTCTATCTGCCTACTTTCCCCTGCCAGCGACAACCAGAAAGCTCCCTCTTGCCTGGAAGCAAAAAGAAGATTCCTCTGTGCGCCTGCTCAGCCGGGTCAGTGGGATCCCCTCGGTGAGAAAATTCTTCCTGGGTTTGGGCACGGTTTGCTCTGCCCACAGGTGGGCAGATGCTCCAAAGTCTTTCACCTTGTGCTGGAAGGCAAGCAGACCACTGCTCAGTGCAGGAGTTTGGGTTTCTCACTCATCACTGAGCCTAGCCTCCTTTTTTTTTTTTTTTTTTAAAAGGAGGATGTGATTGCTACTTTGTTTCTCTTTTTTTGTTACTTCAAATTGACATTCTGACCTTGGGCAAGTGTAGCAGGGAGCTTGCTTTTATTCTTATCTTTTTGTTTTGTGTTTTTGTTGCAAACTGTCTAAAAGTGTTGGAGAGTTTTATTTGGATACAATAAAGCCAGATATTAGAACACAGATTTAACCTCAAGACGATGAGCTTTTAAAATGCATAGAAAGGTCCGTTTTCTCCTCCTTTCTAAACTCAATGCAAATTTTTCTTCAGTAACTTGTTTTCCTAGCTTGATAAGGTATCATTAGAGAATGGATGGTTCAAAAAAGAAGTGGTCTGAGGTGGGAGGGTCCCTTGAACCCAGGAATTGGAGGCTGCAGTGAGCTATGATTGCACCACCACACACCAGCCTGGATGACAGAACGAGATATCATCTCTTAGAAAAGAAAAAAGAAGAAGTGGTGTGTGCTTTTTCCACTTTGATTAAAACAAAAACCATGGCATGGGCATCTGCTAAGAAGCATGCTTCCTGCTTTGCCAACACTGCCAGTTATTTGCAAGTGTCAGGGTGAGTTTCTCTAGTTTCTTCACTTTCAGACCCAAATCATGCCCATTCTTAAATGACATTCAAAAATACAAATGTGAAACTTTATAAAAGACTCAAATGTGTGTTTGATTGTAATGAGTTTTTGTTTAAATTGAAGGGAAATTCAGTTGCATTAAGCGGAATAAGTTTTTCTGACACTTTCAGCCTGTTGGTTTCTGTTTTACTTAGGAGAAAGGGCTATCTGCGTAGTCCCCAACAGGGGAATCATTTTCATTAGACATTTTCTTACTTGTTTTAGATTAAAGAAGAAGTCTTGAAGCTCTAGAAGAATAAAAAGGTGTGTGTGGTGGTGGTGGGGGAGTTGTTGGGGAGAATGCGAATAATTACTTCTATGTTTTTTTCCAACCTAGATTTCCCCCTTCTTTTGTAGATCCACACCAGCCGTACTGGACCTTGCTCAAGGCCAGATGCCTATTGCTTTAGACTCCCATAGGTGCCTGGGGTGGTGTTGAGGGGGAAAGGAAGTAGGGAGTAGAGCAGAGCAGTTTCCATTAAGCAGAATTTGTTCTGAGCTTAAGCCATCCCACCAAGGGGAAGATGGGCCTTGAGGTGCCAGACAGTCTTTTCTCCCCATATATTGAGTTGTTATACCTTCCTACACCAGTGAAATCTGACACTCTGGACACCTTGTGAAATTGTTATATAAAACTATGGTGATGGTTTCTGTGAATTAAAAATAAACAAAGTACCTATTTTCTTAACAATTATTATTATTGCTATTATTATTTGGAGACAGAATCTCTCTCTGTCACCCAGGTTTGAGTGCAGTGGTACAATCTCAGTTCACTGCAACCTCTGCCTCCTGGATTCAAACAATTCTCGTGTGTCAGCTTCCCAAGTAGCTGGGATTACAGGCGCCCATTACCATGCTCAGCTAATTTTTTTTGTATATTTAGGAGAGACAAGGTTTCACCATGTTGAACAGGCTGGTCTCAAACTCCAGCCTCGGGTGATCCGCCCACCTCAGCCTCCCTAAGTGCTGGAATTACAAGCTTGAATCACCATGCCTGGCCAAATAATAATAATAATAATTTGATGTAAACCTTTAGTGGGGCCAGGCAGGAAAGACATAGAAGAAGACATATTGTAGCTATGGCCAAAATTAATTTTGCAAACTGTGGTTTTCTGACTGAATTTCTTTTTTGACCCCCACTCTTCTTACTACGTTACTCTCGTTTCCAAATTGAAATATGTGTATTAGAACAAATTTGCTTTCTATTTTGTGCTTATTCTCCTATCTCAAGATTTTGGATCTCTGCTTAAATGCTCAGAAATGGAAATGTTTGCACCCATGTGGCCGTGCTCATGCACTTTTTGCTGGGTGATCCTGTTGTCACTGTTCTTTTGTGACTTCCCCAAAAGCCCCCACTGTCGTCTATCCCCTGAAGGCTGCATTCAGGTGGCCCTAATACAAGCTAAAGATTTCAGGCTCGTTCCAAGTTCCAGAAATGTCTCCATCCCAAGACACCCTGGGTTTTTCACTGTCCTCTTTATTAACATGGACAAAATGCCCTGCTTTGTGGGCTGATTTATGGTTGCATTAGGGAAAACTCCATGAAGGGCATAAAATACAGTGTACCACTCTGGGGCCTAATCTTACACGTTATCGGTGATTGCAAGTGCATTTTATAACACTGGTGCCAAATCGAAATCAAGGTGATTTGCGCATCAATCTCCCGGATAAAATCAGGGAACACTCTATTGCAGTTTGACCTTCCTGGTGCCTTTGGTCCAACTTGTTTAAGTCCCTGGGACAATTGCCCAGGGACAGTTGGAAAATGCAGTGATACTGGCTAGAGCTGGATTACCAGCTGTATCAGAAGGCTTAACCGTTCACCCCAGAGATTCCTGAGAACCAGGGGAAAAACCCTCGGAGGAGGCTCTCATGGTTTTTAAGAAGGGCTGGTGCTGCCAGCAGAGAAGGGGGAGAACCTAGGGGCCATTTTCACGTGTTTTTAGATGTACCCCTGAACTCTATAGCACATCTAAGAAGCAAAACTTTCAAGTTTACAACAAGCTGGCAGATAACTGGGTCTGAAGAAGCCTGTGGGCTTTCCCTTCCTAATCATTCCAGGAGCTCAACTAACTGTGGGTCAGGGAAGTACTTCCGTTTCTAAAACAAACAATAGAGCAAAGATGAGAATAATGTCAGAGGGAGACATTTTATTCCTGTGACCACGTACTAACTATGGATCAGGAAGATAGTTAAGTTTCGAAATCAACTAGTAGAGCAAGGATGAGAATGAAGTCAGTGGGAGCTATTTCATTCCTGCCACCACCAACAGTTGGCTCCCCTTATTAATTTTTATAGAACAAGATCAGAAACTTCCTGAAAGATCTGATAGCTTCCCTTGGTGAAGTTCAAATCCTAACCCCAAGTTTTGATTGATGCATTCACAAGAGGCCCGGAGGGCTAAAGATATTTTGAGCAGATCCATGGAAATTGTAGATTTTTAGAACTTAAAGACTCTAGTGACGGCCACAGGGTGTATTTAGGATAAATATTTTTAAGTCAGGGTTTTATGCCTATAATCTGAATCTCTCAACTTATATTTAGCCAAGACTTCTTTTTAAAGTAATTCCATTTCTTTTGAATCTGCACCCTTTCATAGCCCAAAGGGGGAACCTCAGATGGCTCTTCAGCTGGTGAAGGCTGTTTTACAAAAACCCTTTAAGATATGCTAATGGATATGGGATGATTATTAAGATAAATACCTTGTGTTGGAAACTATAGTTAATTATAATATATGTAATTAGTCACTGGTCAGGCTAGAAGTTATAATTTATTGCTCCTTAATTTGCATTTATTATCAAAGATATTCAATTTAGAGGAATTATAAAAAATAGCCTGATTTGAGTGGTTATGGAGATGGTGGGCATTTAGCAAACTTCAAAACTCTCCTTTCAAACTTTTCTAAACTCATCATATACAATTTCAGGAAATAACACACCAACAAGAGGAGATGGCTTGTGCTTGTTGATTAAAAAATGAGAATGCCATTTTTGTAAGAAGAAATAATGGAATTTTCCCTTCTAGACCCTCACTTTTGGAAGAGTAGGTACACTTTTATGGTAAGAGGGTCCAAGTTCAAGTAATAGAATTGTAAAGCTTTAGTGACGAAGTTGTCTTTTGTGTCAGTGTTTGTGGGGAAAATAATGCAATATAGTATTAAATCCTTTTCCTTTTAGATAATAATTTCTCTTGGACAGTGGAAAAGAAGCTGTTTTCAATAAAAAAGTAGTTTGTCACAGATATAGCTTTTGTTGAAAGGAGATTTAGTGTCTTTTTGTATAAAGCTCCACTGCTTTCAAACATATGGTTTCTGCATTCTCTTTTATGATTTTTGCTCTGTCACAGCTCTGGGTCCCTTCAGCCACAGAAGAGTGACATTCTTGCATCCCCGTGTCTCTGAATTAATGTCTGCTAAAAAGGAGCACCTTGGTACCATGTAAGAAGCAGCCTTGGCTATCTTGCCTCCTAGGAATCTTCTTTTTAATAGAAAATGTAGCTACAGTTTGACTTGTAGTCAGTTACACTGCAATGTATCTGCAGGGAAAGCAGCACCACCGGGATGTCAGAATCTTCCTTCTTGAAATGAAGGGATCGTCTCTCCTAGGGAGACATCTGTGACAATGCACCATCCAAGTTTCTGTGTCTTCACATCAAGGTCATCCTGGAGCTATTTAAACATTATTTTTGAACTCACTGAATATTGAGATCAGGTTGTCACTCTCTCAATTCCCATTTCTTCCAGGATCGGAAATGGAGGTATTTGATGTTACAGTTTTGCTAAGTAAGAGTGAAGCATACTCAGATTGGGTGGGGTTTGACTTGTGCTTCCCTTAGATAGAAGCTATATTCTCTTATTGAAGGAGAAATTAGAGGGTGAAGATGGAGAGAACATTTGAGAACAAGACCTCCAACCTCCCTTGTGAGTGAGGTTCGAGGTGAATCCCAGGGTGTTCCTGCTGAGTTATGGACAAAACCAAGTTGTGAGAGCATGAAGCCCATGAGACACCTCCTGGTTATTCTGCAAAGGGCTTCTTGGCTTCTCTTCCATGCAGAGGCCCTGTGTCCGTCAGTGTACCAGCAGTGGCATGCATGCAGTAAGAGGGTGCATTGACTGCAAAGAATTTAAGGTCAGAATACTGTCTAAAAATGGTCTTCTTTTTTGTTATCACCATAAACCAGCAATTCCAGTGTCAGCACTAAGGTACTGGTGTGCTGCTACAGAGGGTACTTCAGTCACCCACACTTCAGCTGTGTGGGGGGCCTAAGGCTGGGGCCCAGTCCACATCCCCTTTGCTAGGTCAGGAGTGAGGATACCTACTCTTTGGCTGCTGAGTGTTGGCTACCAATGGCTCAGAGCTGTCATCTTGGCAGAGTTAGACCCATCCTTCTCTGAGCAGCCTATAGCCAGTGAATGGCTGACTCCATTCCTAAGGAGCAACTTACCTCTCAGAGTCTCCACCTCCCTCAGGCCAAGCTTAACCTCACTCAAGACCACAGCCATGCTCAGCCTCTTCTTGGTCTCTCCCCCGCTTCTTTGCCTCCCTTGAGCACAACTCAACAATTTCTGTGCATTCGGAATTCTGTTTCAAGCCATGAAGCAGAACTTTCTCTATGCGGCTAAAGTAGTATTCAGAGAACAATTTATAGCTTTTAGTAGATCATCAAAACCCAAGACTGAAAATACATGAGCCAAGCATTCAACTCAAGAAGTTGGAAAAAAAAATACCATCAATAACAATTACACCATGCACACACACACGTGTGCGTGCACACACATACACACACCTGCGCACACACACACACACCTGCACACACACACATAGAAAGAAAGGACTTTTTACCTGAATTGTATCACAGAAGAATCTTATGATAATGGAATGTGTTTGTGCTGGGACATTTTCTGAAAATGGCCACCAGTTGACACACTATTAATTAATTGATAATTGTAATTATATAGTCCCCTTATGTATTGTATGAAGCTTTCTACAGGCTATAGCCATTCTATAACAGCCAATCATGTTTGATTTTATCTGAGTGATCCTCAGAAGAGCGCCAGTAGAAGAAGATGAAGGGGAAGGCTTGTGGGGGGAGTTGATGGGCAGGTCCTGGAGGGAGTAGAGGGCTTATTCCGGCCTGTGACCATGTGAAAAAGTCATTTGACTTCCAGGAAGCCATGCTCTACTTGGCAAGAAAGCTTAGGCAATGGTTTTCCCCACGCCCACCTGAGATCCAAAAAATGTCCATATGTCCAATTTCTTTCTTTTTACCTTTGGATACAAGATATGATCCAAATACTACTTTGACTTTTCAGGCTTATTCAATGTCTTCCACGAGTCTGTAGAATGCTCTCTGAAGATGGTGGAATTTTTTCTTCAAGGACTCTGTTTCAAGTCATGCTCAGCCTCTGGGAGGCAAGATAACATGAATTTTGTGGACCAACAGGCCTAGGTTTAGTCCAGGCTACCATTATTTACTTCCTCTGCAATACTGGGCCAGGACTAAGCCCAATGCCACCCTCACTCTGTTAAAAAGTAGAGCTAGCATTTAAACCCAAGATGTCTATTTTAGAATCCTCACTCTTCACCACTATCCTGAGCAAAGGGGCAGTGGATCTAAAGTGTTAGGCTAGGGCAGTCACTGGGTGCTCATAACATAATAGCAATGAAGATGA